TGCCCAACAAGTTCACCCCTTGAGTGTGTCATTTATGGAGGTGGCTAAGAGGTGCTCTTGCATGGTCTGAAGCTGTCTACTGGTTGTGTGGGCTCTGGGGCCTCCCAGAAGGTATTGGCCAAGATCAGCTGCAGCCTGTGCCCTGCCCAGGGCCACCCAGCATGAGTTGCAGAGTAGTCTGGAGATGGCTATTTCTTTACTGGGCTTGGGGGTGCCTGGGAGAGGCCAAGCTATGAACCGAAGCCAGCTGCCGTAAATGCCAGACCTGGGGCCACTTAGCAAGAGGTACAGGACACACTGAGGCCAGATGCTGCTTGTTTGGGGTTTGAGGACCTTTGAGAGATTTTAGGAAATTCTCCAGTGTGAGACAAGACAGGCCATTTAATGACAAAGCCACTGGAAGAGGCTTGGGTGGGCCCACAAATTGGGTGTGAGGAGGCCCCTGGGAATCACCAAAGTAGAGCAAACTGTGTTAGCCAGGTTGGTGGAGACTCAAGTATGGCGCTTAACCATTTCAAATTTTAATCATTCAAGGAAAATACTTTTAGGTGAGTTTTAAAGAATCCAAAACAGGCTAAGGTGTTTAATTTCTCTGTTATCAGAGCTAAAATATATCACTTCCTATGCTGACAAAATAGATACAGTACTAGAGGCAAAAATGTATATAAAACATCTTTTGCACTGGGTTTGGTAACAACAAATAACACAATTATGCACATATTAATAAGTATTTACTGGCTGGTTATGAAAATGGCCATCACTCTCTTCTTCCAAACAGGGTGTCTTGGCATTTCTACCCAATAGAAATATGGAGGCCAAGAGGGTCACGTGTGTTAGAGACACCAAGTCTATATTTGCCTATAGATTTGGGTTTCTCATGTACAGTAGAGCCAAATTCTGGACTCTCCAGGGGGAAAAAGTGTTCATGAGAGAAATAAAGATCCAAATGTGAAGTGACACAGGTGAATCCAATTCAGGAGGTACTAGAAAGCTAGCTAGCTTCCTTACCCTCCCACCCTCTATCTGCTGCAATTTGCCACTGCCTCAGCTTAGCAACTGGCATTCATTTGTAGTCTGTGATGTTTATCCCTTGGGGGAGAGAAAGAAAAGATAAGAGTAAAATCAGAAAATAAAGTGTTTCCATTTAAAAGGGCTTTCCTGGCTAAACTTTAGTGTGGAAAGAAAACCTCGTTTTCCCTTCCAACAATTTTCAAAAGTAATAAGACAAAAAAGATGCCTTACCTCCCATGAGACTAACTCAATAGGGTCTGTCATGCCAATAGCTCACAATATGCAACAGAATTTTAGGGGAATTGTAATAATGTATATAACTTTATTTTAAAAAATAAAATTTCTTGCCATGGCCAGTTTGGCTCAGTGGTTAGAGTGTCGGCCTGTGGACCAGAGAGTCTTGGGTTTAGTTCCCACTAAGGGCATGTACCTCAGTTGCAGTTTGTCCCCGGCCCTGGTTGGGGTCATGTGGGTGGCAACCAGTCAATGTGTCTCTCTCACATCAATGTTTCTCTCTCTCTCTCTCTCTCTCTTCCCCCTCTCTCCCTCCCACTCTATCTGAAGATAAATGCAAAAAAATGTCCTCGGGTGAGGATGAAAATAAATAAATACATACATACATACATACATACATTTTAAAAAATAGCCCGGCTAATGTGGCTCAGTGGTTGAGCATTGATTCATGTACCAAGAGTTTAATTCCCAGTCAGGGCACATTCCTAGGTTTCCAGCTTGATGGCCAGTGGGGGATGTGCAGGAGGCGGCCCATCAATGATTCTCTCTCATTGATATTTCTGTTTCTCCCTCTCCCTTCATCTCTCTCTAAAAAAAAAAAAAATCAATGAAGCAAAATATTTTAAAATAAAAATAAAGTTTCTTATGAATACACCTTTCAGTACTGAGAAGCTGGATTAAGCTACTTGCATATATACTTTTTAAAAGTATATCTTATTTTTGATAAACCTTTAAAATCTAGTTTGTTTTTTTATCCTCACCCGAGGACATTTTTGCACTTACCTTCAGATAGAGCGAGAGGGAGAGAGGAAGGAAGAGAGAGAGAGAAATATCAGTATGAGAGAGACATATCAAGTGGTTGCCACCCACATGACCCCAACTGGGGCCGGGAGGAACCGCAACCGAGGCACGTGCCCTTAGCGGGATCGAACGCGGTACTCTCTGGTCCGCAGGCCGACGCTCTAACTGCTGAGCCAAACTGGCCAGGGCCACTGGTTGATTCTTGTATGTGCCCTGAGTGGGGATCAAACCTGCAACCTTAGCATATCAGGATAATGCTCTAATACACAGAGCTACCTGTGCAGAGTGAAAAGTATTTTTAAAGGTAAAAGAAAATCACCCAAATTTCCATCACCCAAAGATAAATAATCACTTAATATTTGGGGGGCTAGTCTCATTCCTATTTATTCCTATTTAATACAGAGAAAGAGACTCAAATGGATTCCAATAATCTCCCAAAGATATTTTTTTCCTGCAGAATAGATCACATTTGTTAAACTACATTTACTCCTGTAAACCAGAGGTTCCCAACTGTTTTTTGTTCTCAGTACATACTTTAAATATTTGCCCAGTACCTCTTCTCTCAATCACAGAATTTAATAAACCATAAAAGAACTAGAAAAGGTTATGGCAGATAAAATCAACACAGAAATACCTTAATCCAGCCATTTGCCCAGCAGTGCTCACCTATCTCTGCTAAAGCCTTATTCTGTTGACTCTGAGACTGAGGGAAAATGAATTATTCTTTCATTGCCAGAGTGTGGCAGTAAATGGACTCTCAAAAGTCAAGGACAGGATTCAAAGGATGCTCTCAGGCCTTACCTATCCAGCACAGAGAAGAGGAAATGACCTAGCATTTCTTTTTTTTTTATCCTCACCCGAGGACATTTTTCCATTTTTTGTTCAGATAGAGTGGGAAGGAGAGAGAGGAAGAAAGAGAGAGAGAGAGAAACATCGACGTGAAAGGGACACATTGAGTGGCTGCCACCCACACAACCCAACCAGGGCCGGGGACAAACTGCAACCGAGGTACATGCCCTTAGCGGGAACCGAACCTGGGTCTCTCTGGACCGCAGGCCGATGCTCTACCCACTGAGCCAAACCAGCCAGGGAAACCTGGCATTTCCTAATTTGTTTTGGGAGCTATGGCTCTAAGAGGCAAGCTGTTGTGACTTTAAAAGTGTACTAAAGTGCACCACACAGAAGGCAAGAATGAGAAAATGAGTGCATGCTTATCTGCATCTGAGTACAGAGGCCAGAGCCACCCCCAGTGAGAGCTGCTCAATAACATCTGGGAAAGCAAAAGGGTCCATTGTCAGGACTCTCACACACACCGATGTCCTGCTTTCCCAAGCAGTCTACATGTATTCGGAACACACATAACAAAGGAAGCATGTATATACAGGGCAGGGCAAAAGTAGGTTATAGTTGTTCATATGGAGAATAATACAATAATTAATAATATTACAATTATAAATTGTCTCACATATGACTGTAAACCTACTTTGCCCCACCCTGTATATAGTGAAAAAAACCTAAAACAGAGACTGGAAGGAAGATGTTTTCTTCATAGATTAAAAGAGATTAGTAGTTTGACTCTCACTGATGTAACAGATACTCTAACGGGCAGCAATAATCGAATGATACAAGGAAGGTTAGTACTACACAACCCTGTGCCAGCCTGAGTCTGTGTGTGTCTGTGTGTGGGGGGTTATAAGCAGGTCTCTAATCTGGGAAGCAGCTGACTTTCCTGGTACTCGGCCAAAAGACAGGAAGGAACATGGGGTAGGAAGTAATTGCTTTCGATTTAGGTAACATTGAGAGAATGAGTACTTTGAGCAACATGGAGGCAAAACAAACAAACAAACAAACAAAAACACAAAGAAACTTCAAGTCTTCAGAGAGGATATCTCTAATGGGCAAGGAAGATCACATTCTAGGTCTCAGGAGTCAGAATAGAAACCACTGCAACCCAGTTACTCTGAAATGAATTTACAAGTGAAACAAAAATACTCTGAGGTAAGTAGGATTCAAGAAAAAAAGCTGGGCTAGTGATAAACTATACTGGGATTAGGGGTTAAAAGAATTGGAATACAGCCCAAGCCCTTAACTTGAGACTCTATCCTTATCTGTAAAGTAGAAACAACAATACTGCCTTGACCACCTATCAGGGGAGTGTGAGCCTCAAAGAAGACAGAATAAAAGATGTTTAAAGCACATCAGAAACCATTAAGTTCTACATAAATGCAGGGTACTATTTTATGATCTGAAATGCAGGAGTCCAGATGATCTCTATGACCCCTTGGAGTTTTAGAGTTGTAAGATTCTAAACTAACTGAGTGTTATACTAGTCAAAGCAATCTTCAAAATGGTACTATAGTCATTATTCTAGATCTTAACAGTGGCCAGCAAAGAGGTGTGTGAGAAGGGCATGGTTCCTGTTTTAGGTGCCCCCCTCCCCCACTGAAAGTAGAAAAGGGTCAGTGGAGCTAAAGAGTAAATTCAATTTAATGTCAGCTTAGAGAACATGAAGAATAGCTTAGCTTTCTTTTCTATGCAATTAATCAAAGTACAAAAGACATTACTGTATTTTATAACCAGGCAATCACATATATTTAACTGGAAACATAGAGAATCCCTACACTCAATCACAAAAACTTAAAGTCTGGTTATGAAGACAAAAACAAAAGTGAAACAAATGAAATATAAAAATATGTAAAATATAATCAGTACTCCATTCCACTGTTTAGTAGGAAGTGTAAGAATTTGTTGTAAACAAGTCTCAGCAAGTGGTCTATGAAAATCACTTTATTTTTTCAAATTCTTGTGATGAAATTTTAATAGTGTCTAGATAAATGAGGTGCTACTGTGTGATAATCTACATAACCAAGAACTAAGAAGTATGTAAAAATAAGGCTTGTAAGCAGTCCAAATAGTTGTCACTAAGTTCAAGTACTAAAGAAGAGTATTCCAACCTAAACTCTATGGGGTCCCCTGGTTTCCTGACCCCAGAGCAGATCAGATGCAGGAAGTTGAAAGTAGAGCAGATTACCAAAAGATGAAAACACTGGCCACTTCTTACCTACAGTAATGGAGAGAAAGAAAAGGTGTAAAAAGCAGTACTACACAGCTCAACATTCTGGAAGTCATTTTTCATGGTACAAGAACTGCCATTCATAATCATGACTAAATCAACAAGAAAAACAATTATATATAATAATATCTATCCAAAAAGACTTTTCAAATGTAGTGGGCTTTATATTTTAAATTTTTAAAAGTTTAGTTTCAGTATTGGGATAATTCATCTGTTTGGAACATCTTCTTCAAGAGGTATAGTGTGTATGAAACTTTATTAAATCAATACATACATAGGAAAATACCAGCTTAGCCGTGAAGGCCTTTATCAGTAGCATGTGCAAGCTATGTATTATCTGTAAGGTAAAGCAGTAACAAAATACTCTTGCACAGCTAGGCCAACTTCCTGGAAAAGTTGTTATTCAGTGAATTTATAAGTAAATGTTATCTTTTTCAAAATGTTTTATTAATAAAAGTATTGGAGCCAACAAAAGATAACAGAGTGGGAATTAGGAGTGTAACTAGATTAATGTGGGAGAACCTGAAGATCGGATCAGATAGGAGAAAAAGATAAGAAACTTCAGAAAGAAAGAGAAAAAAAATGGAGTGGGAGGAAAAGTAAGAAAAGACCAGAGTCTTTGGAGAGTCAAGTGGGGCCATAAATGCAACCAGGAAAGCTGATGAGTCTTTGAGAAGAAAAAGGTATGACATGTGCTGAACTACAGGGCTGGGCCTAATGCTTTTATTTCTCAAAAAATGTTGAAAACAAGACTATACATGAAGACCAGCTCTGGCTGGTCTGGCTCAGCGGTAGTGTCGGCCCACGGACCAATGAGTAACGAATTCTATTCCGGTCAAGGGCATGTGCCTTGGTTGAGGTTGGTCCTGGCCCTGGTTGGGGTTGTGTGGGAGGCAACCACTTGATGTGTCCCTCTCACTTCAATATTTTTCTCTCTCTCCCTCCCACTCTATCTGAAGATAAACAGAAAAATATCCTTGGGTGAGGATAATTCTTGTTAGGCAGAGGGTATTAGAACATAATTCAGCTGTTTCCTCACTAGTCTAATGTAGTTACACTTAATTTTGAACAACAAAATGGGTTTTCTTGGTATCCAACATGATTTTTACTGGTAACTTGTGAAACTCTAGGCTTTCTTCTTCTTTTTTTTCTTTATTGGTTTTAGAGGAGAGAGAGGGGAAGGGAGAGGAAGAGAGAGACAGAAACATCGATGACAGAGAACATCGATTGGCCACCTCCTGCATACCCCCCACTGGGGCTCAGGCCCACAACCTGGGCATGTGCCCTGACCAGGAATCGAACCAGCGACCTCTTGGTGCATGAGTCGACGCTCAACCACTGAGCCACACCAGCCAGGCTAGGCTTTCTTCTTCTTTTTTTAATCCTCACCTGAGGATATTTTCTATTTATCTTCATATAGAGTAGGAGGGAGAGAGGGGGAGAGATAGAAACATGGAAGAGAAAGGGACACATAGACTGGTTGCCTCCCAGAGAACCCTGACTAGGGCTGGGGATGAACTGCAACCAAGGTACGTGCCCTTGGCTGGAATCGAACCCGCGACTCACTGGTTCATGGACCAACACTCTAACCGCTGAGCCAAACCGACCAGGGCTAGGCTTTCTTCTTATCTAGCTATAGCTGTCTGTTTATATATGATCTACCATGTTTCTGAAAAGGATTCTGAACAGCTTAATTTAGGACTTCATTCCTCCTAACAAATGGACTTTTTTGTTTTGATCTTTTTTTAAAAAAAATCCCGTCTTGTGAGCGAGCGATTGCTAGCTCTCTTCCTCCTAATCTTGTTATTCTTCTTCCCTGACACTCTTATTTGTATCCTTTGTGGTGCTTCTCCTATCAAATGCTTTCAGGGACAAGAAGTAACAGCACCAAAATTCCACAGCACAGCATTATAGTCTACCACTGAGGTGTGCTTTCCAATATCCCAGGCTTGGTCAAAGTAAACCTTACAAAAAGAGTCCTATTTCTTATTTTTACATGTGCCCCAAATTACCACTGAGAATAATGCATTCACCAAAAATAATATATAAGTATATTAGCTTTCATTTAAACTTAGCCCCCCCACCCCACAAAGATAATATAATAAACCATTTACTATTCCCTCCCTAATTGAACCTTATACTTAATGTCCATCCAATGCACCAATGTTTTTAAGATAGGAAACTTTAATAACTTTTAGCTAGATATCTTCTTTCTCTAAAATCACTGCATGTCTCTCCTTATAACAAACCATCCATTAACCTTCTCACTTGTTCTTCACCAGTTTTCTGTGCTAGTAAATCTGAAGGGACCAACATACTTTTTTCTACCTGTATTCATTGTTCACTAATGGCGATGAGCAATAAAAGAGGTAGGAGGGGATAAGGGTTGGGAGGTGTATTTGGAAAAACTGCAGAGTAGCATCTGGTACAAGTAGGCTCCATCTGATTGAGACTTGCTTTAACAACCAAATTTCTAAAAGTCTAGTTTAATATAGCAGAAATGAGAAGATATAACAAATTACCTCATTATAGTTTTTACCTACAAAAAGACATGAATATTATTGTGAGAGAGAAAAAAAGGCAAGAGTCTCTGTCTCAAACTTGATATTCTAGGATCTCTCAGAAGTCCCCTACCCAATCCTACAGTAGCCATAAATAGGAGTTCACAGTAATACCACTGAGTTCTCCGGTGGTTGGCAGGATTTAAAAAAATTTTTTTTCCTTAATCTTCCTGGACAGTTTGCTTAATTGCCCAAGGTAATAAAATATTCACCCTAAGTCTGAGGTCAGGTCAGGTGCTTAGCTAGTAGTCTGGGTGAGAGTGATAATGCAGACTGAAGAACAGGTGCCTTCCAGGATGGCCACGATATTATGGCTGCTATTCCCTGTGGGGATGGGGGAAAGGAGACTGGAGCAGAGCTGCAAGAATCTTGTGGGCCTGGGGGAGTGGGACCTGAAGGCAACACTAAGAACCTTGTAGGGTTAAAGCTACTCAAAGTCTCATTACCCACTGGGCAGAGTGCAAACTGCCTGTTAGTTTTTTCTCCAATAAGTGCGTAAGAATCTGGGTAGCATTCAAAGGAGAGAACTTCTAGACATGGTTTAGTAGCTGCAAGAAACCCTAAGTCGTAGAGGTTTTTATGGACTTTGGATGTACTCTAGCACAAGTTTTGGGTTCCTCTAATGTTGTGGTGACACATACTCTGCCCTTCTGATAGTGGCAGCTAAAAAGAATGAAGGGAATCTCTACAGCAACTGCATACTTAGGATTCTGATTTAATGATAGAAATAAGAAGAATGAAATACTTCACAGAATACGTATTGCACGTATCTTAAGGAATTACAAAGACCATAAACATGTTATAGTATAGTCTAGACATACCACAGATTCAAATTTAATAGAATATTGGTAGGCTGGGGGAGGAAACCCACAACAGCTGATTTCTGAAATACGAAAAATAAAAGTAGCTGAGGTAGGAATAGTGGGAAAAGAAAATTATTCAAGAGTTTCCTGTATTATCTATACATTTAAAAAACAAAAATAGAAAAACAAAACAAATAAGTTACTTCACAGAGCCCGCTGCTTTTCTAAGATTGGATTATTATCAATTTGAGAGGCATTAAGGTTCCTCCATTAAAAATAAACAAAACAGCCCTGGCTGGTGTGGCTCAGTTGGTTCAGTGTCGATCTGAGCACCAGAAAGGTCACCGGTTCGATTTCTGGTCAGGGCACACGCTCAGGTTGTGGACTCGATCCCCAGTTGGGCGTGTATGAGAGACAACTAATTGGTGTTTCTCTCTTACATCGATGTTTCTCTCTCTCTTTCCCTTCCTCTATCTCAAAAAAATAAATAAAAACATATTTAATTTTTAATTTTTTTGTTAATCCTCACCCAAGGATATTTTTCCATTGATTTTCAGAAAGAGTAGAAGAGAGGGAAGGAGGGAGAGAAAGAGGGGGGAGAGAGAGAGAGAGAGAGAGATGTGAAAGAGATACATCGATTGGTTGCCTGCTGCATGACTCTGACCAAGGTCAGGAATTGAACCTGCAACCCAGGTAATGTGCCCTTGATCGGAATCAAACCTGCAATCCTTCAATCCACAGGCTGGCATTATAACTGCTGAGCCAAACTGGCCAGGACAATAAAAATATAACTCACATATTCACTACCACTTGCTGTGGAAAGCAAGTTAAGGTATATTCAATTATTTAAAATTAAAAGAAGACAACCCTGACCAGTGTGACTCGGATGGTTGAGCAGAGTCCCATGCATGGAAAGTTTGCCAGTTCGATTCCTGGTCAGGGCATGTACATGCTCAGGTTGCAGGCTCAATATCCGGTCGGGGTGCATGCAGGAGGCAGCCAATCAATGTTTTTCTCTCTCCTTTCCTCTTTCTCCAAAAAAAAAAAAAAAAAAAAAAAAAAAAAAAATCAATACAAACATATTTTTAAAAAATTAAGACTTCTGCATTTGTCTTTTAAAAAATAATAAATTAAGAGAACATCACTACAGTCAATTAGAATGTAACTATCACTAAATTGCATAAGCAGGACACTAGTAAATACTGTTCAAGCTGTGAATTAAATTTCATTATAATAAAAAACATTTTTTACTTTAGTGGAACTGTAAAACAAAAGAGACACATTGTTAAAAATATTTTCCTGGCCCTGGCCAGTTTGGCTCAGCGGTTAAAGCATCGGCCTGCGGTCCTGAGAGACCCGGGTTCGGTTCCCGCTAAGGGCATGTACCTCGGTTGCAGTTTGTCCCCGGCTCTGGTCAGTCGTGCGGATGGCAGCCACTCGATGTGTTCCTTTCACATCGATGTTTCTCTCTCTCTCTCTGTTCCTCTCTCTCCCTCCCACTCTACCTGAACAAAAAATGGAAAAGTGTCCTCAGGTGAGGATAAAAAAAAAAAAAAAAAAAAAGAAAAAAGAAAAATATTTTCCTGGACTACAGGGTAAGAGATTAAATAGAAAGGTGATATACAGCCTCTCTCCAGGAAATTATACTCATATAACAACGGGGATATGTTCTGAGAAATGGCATCATTAGATGGCTTTGTCATTGTGGAAACATCACAAAGTGTTCTTACACAAACCTTGGTGGTATAGCCTACTACACACCTAGGCTATACGGTATAGCCTACTGCTCCTAGGCTATAAGCCTGTACAGCACGATACTGTACTGAATACTGTGGTCAACTGTAACACAATGGTAAGTATTTGTGTATCTAAGCATATCTAAACATAGTAAAAATATGGCATAAAAGATTTAAAAATGTAAATCTATACATAGAGCACTAACCATGAATGGAGCTTACAGGATTCAAAGTTGCTCTGGGTGAGTCAATGAGTGAGTGGCCTAGGAAATTACTGTACACTACTGTAGACTGCGAAAGCCTAGGACATTACTGTACACTACCGTAGACTTTATAAACACTGTCCTACATGCCCAACCCCTGGTTCCTTCTGATAAGGTCAAATAGAACACTGAAACTGTCAATGCTACCCCATGAATAGGAAGGTGCGCTGGACTGATTGGAAACATCAAGGAGAAACAGGCGGGGTAAGACATAGATTACCATAACAGTGAGTGTCAAGAAGGAGTGAAAGGTGGCCTAAGGATCAATAGGAAAAAGAAATCAAGATGGAGCCCTGGCTGGTTTGGCTCAGGGGTTGGAGCGTCGGCCTGCGGTACAGAGAGACCCGGGTTCGGTTCCCGCTAAGGGCACGTACCTCAGTTGCAGTTTGTCCCCGGCCCTGGTTGGTCGTGCGGGTGGTAGCCACTCGATGTGTCCCTTCACATTGATGTTTCTCTCTCTCTCTCTTCCTCTCTCTCCCTCCTGCTCTATCTGAACAAAAAATGGAAAAATGTCCTCAGGTGAGGATTAAAAAAAAAGATGGAGACATGAAGGAACATAGGCGATTGTCAGGGTAGTGTGCTTTTGGCTACTGAATACTGGAGCAGGGGTCAGGTGAAGAAACTTTGTGGCATTTGTTTTTATTTATTTATTTTTTTTTTATCCTCATCCGAGGACATTTTTCCATTTTTTGTTCAGAGAGAGTGGGAGGGAGAAAGAGAGAGAAACATCGACGTGAAAGGGACACATCAAGTGGTTGCCACCTACACAACCCAACCAGGGCCGGGGACAAACTGCAACCAAGGTACGTGCCCTTAGCGGGAACCGAACTCGGATCTCTCTGGACTGCAGGCCAACGCTCTAACCACTGAGCAAAACCAGCCAGGGCTCATTTTTAAAAAAGGGTATTATGCTTGACCAGTGAGGCTCAGTGGATTGAGCAATGTCCCATAAACTGAGAGGTCCCGGTTCAATCCCTGGTCAGGGCACATGCCCAGGTTGCAGCTTGATTCCAGTGGGGGCATGCGGGAGGCAGCCGATCGACGTTTCTCTCTCACATTGATGTTTCTACCTCGCTCTTCTTTCCTCTCTCTCTAAAAATTAATAAAAACATATTTTTAAAAAAATTAAAAAGAGGGTATTTAACATGGAGAGGGTATAGAACGAAGGACTCAATATTTGACTTTGGAAATTTGGTTTGTTCCATTGACTCTATCTAGCACAAATGGCTCTCTCTGGCAATAAAGTGATGAAAGAAATAAAACTTTTCTGTTATGCAGCACTACAACCTGAAAATAATTCCAAAGTACAGAGACAGGCTGGCTCTACACTATCACAGAAAGCTTTTATTGAAGTGGCAGTGGCAGTTAATACTTGGTAAGACAGTTTCTGTGGACCTTCATCCTTATACAAGATCTTAGGTCCTGCCCTGGCCGGTATGGCTCAGCGGTTAGAGCATCGGCCTGCGGTCCGGAGAGACCCAGGTTCGGTTCCCGCTAAGGGCATGTACTTCGGTTGCAGTTTGTCCCCGGCCCTGGTTGGTCGTGCGGTGGCAGCCACTCGATGTGTCCCTTCATGTCGATGTTTCTCTCTCTCTGTCTCTTCCTCTCTCTCCCTCCCACTCTATCTGTACAAAAAATGGAAAAATGTCCTCGGGTGAGGATAAAAAAACAAACAAACAAACAAAGATCTTAGGTCCTTAACAAAGAATTTACAGCAATGCACTCTGAAGACCATTAAGCTAAACCTGGGAGAGCAATGGTACCCTTTGAATATATAGTGCTGTGGGGAAAAGCTCCTCTGTGCTAAAACAGGTCATCTAATCTGTACACTCAAAATTGAGGTGCTGTAAGAGGGAGTAATTGCCATGCCCCATAGACACTGCTCCTGTCAGAAAAAAAAAATCCTCCTGAACCACATATCCTTCCATTTCTTTTTTTTTTTTTTTTTTTTATCCTCACCCTAGGACATTTTTTTCCATTTTTTGTTCAGATAGAGTGGGAGGGAAAGAGAGAGAGAGAAACATCGACGTGAAAGGGACACATTTAGTGGTTGCCACCCACATGACCCAACCAGGGCTGGGTACAAACTACAACCAAGGTACATGCCCTTAGTGGGAACTGAACCTTGGTCTCTCTGGTGTGCAGGCCGATGCTCTAACCGCTGAGCCAAACCGGCCAGGGCATCCTTCCATTTCTTATAAGAAACGTTCTTGTCTTGCTAGAGTATTTCCCACTAAAATAATGTCATTCTCTATAGAATTTCTTTTCTAACACAAAAGTAGTATTAAAAAGATGACAAAAAAAAACAAAAACACACACACACAAAAACGAAAGACTGAAAAATGTCCACAAATGCCCTGCAGAGACTAGCAGTATAGAGAACATGACAATTCGAGAGTTTTCCTCACAGTTTTCTTTCCCTAAGAAGTTCTTATAGATTTTAGGTTGTAGGCCTAAGTTTAAGAAAATGAAGCCATCAGAGTCACCAACATAGGGACGCTCAAATTTCAGTCCTAGTGGCCTAGACACTCTACACCCACCTCATCATCACTGTCGGACGTCTCAGAGTCTGAGGAGGCTGCAGGCTGACTCACAGGTGGCTCCTTCTCCTCAGAGTCACTGCGCTTCCGCTTTGCCAGGGACAAGAGCTCCTAATAGGGCAGAAGTAATCACATGAGTTTTGTTCAACAGAAAAGAAATATCCAAGAATAATAAAATGCTCACTCTCCCTAGATCTCTTCTACCTTGTTGTGCTTTCAATTGAATAACATCATCATGGGAACTTTTATCACATGAACACAACTGCCAGTATTCTTAAGTGCTAAAATAAATGTTTCCAAAATTGTCCCCTACCTCTTAATGGCAAATATATGTCTGAAATGGAAAAGTGAATATAAAACTGACCAGGAGGCTACTTCCAAATTATCACCACTTTCTCTATAAGCTACAATACTGATTCTCATTCTCAGGTATTTATATAAGAACCATGTTTACAAATATAATTTACTCACTGTTCTTACTGTTAATACCCTGAGCATCCACTAACTGTAACCCATAGTAAAAGTGGCATTTGTGGGGCTGATTTGAATAAGCTGACAAACTACAAGTTTCTGAGGTTATTTACTTATTTATTTATTATTTTTTAATGCTTAAGCCAGAGGGAAAATATCCATTTCCAGGGGTTAATCCAGGGTCTGACAACAAGCCACCAATGTGCTGGTCACTACATCAGAACCCTAATTTGACAATGCCCACATTCCCATTCAGCACCTCTGCCTTGTCCTAGTGATTTAAGAGAGACTAGCAGGAGAAGGATGTGCCATTAAGTAAGTCATGGCTACAAGAAGGATTTGCTCTCTTACAGGGTTCCCTTCTGCTACTTTACCCACACTCAGGTCAGTCACTTAAAAATGCAACAAAAGGATACTTGCTCTGGTTCTTGCTCTCTGCTAATATTAATACCAGTCCACAATTGTACTGCACTTACTAGATGCCAGGTACTTTTCTAAGCATCTAACATTTAATCTTTATAATAACCTTAATTTAAGGTAACTCATTATCATCTTCATTTTTTCTTGCCAACTATTTATCTATTTGTTTATTTAGAATGTAATCATTCTCATTTAAAGATAAAGAAACTAAAGAGCAGGAGAGGTTAAGTAACTTATTCAAGGTAACACAGTACATGATAGAATGGAGATTCAAACAAGAACAGATAGAATACTAGCTCTTAATTCAGGCATGGTTTATTAGTCTAAAACATTTTTCTCTTCTGCCAAAAGGAGAAAAATACAACTAATAAATACTAGTAGTATAATTCCTTGATTATGATGGTGCCATACAATGATAGGTCAAGTGTCAACATGAAATTTAAAGTAATAGACTGATACAAAGTATCTGTTTTCATCTTCCAGTTTCTTTCTATTTTAGGAGTACAACCTCCTTAGCCAGAATGAGAAAATGACCTTCTCAGATTAACAGCTGACATGCTCTCTTTCATAAGCAGTCATGAAATGTTCCTCTTCTCATTTCATTAGAGGGAGCTAGCACACCAACTTCCTGTAAAGGCTGAAGATCATAACAACACTCTACCTTTTCATACCAAAATAGTTAATTCCTATTAGCAAATGCAAATTACAGCAATATTTGTTTATGGTATTTTAAAAACTTTAAGTATAATGAACATACAGGATTTTATATCCTTTCTTTCTTTTTTTTTATCCTCACCCGAGGACATTTTTCCATTTTTTTGTTCAGATAGAGTGGGAGGGAGTGAGGAAGAGAGAGAGAGAAACATCAACGTGAAAGGGACACATCGAGTGGCTGCCACCCGCACGACCAACCAGGGCCAGGGACAAACTGCAACCGAGGTACACGCCCTTAGTGGGAACCGAACCCAGGTCTCTCTGGACCGCAGGCCAATGCTCTAACCGCTGAACCAAACTGGCCAGGGCTTTATATCCTTTCTTAAGTACAGTTCTATGAGTTTGACAAATAGTTTAACCACGCCCACAATTAAGACATATGACAATACCGTGATCGCCCCAAATATTGCTGTAATTTGCATTTGGTAATAGGAGTTACTGTTTTGGTATGAAAAAGTGAGTCTTTTTATTATTGTCAGCCTTTCCAGAAAGTTGGTGCTCTTCATATCCTTCCCCCAAGTCCTGGCAATGACAGACCTGTTGTCCGTCCCTATAGATCAGCCTATCATAGACTATCATACAAATGAAATCATACAATATGTAGCCTTTGAGTCTGGCTTCTTAGCATAATGCATTTGACATTCATTAATGTTGCAGGATGTATCAGTAGTTTACTACTTTTTATGGTTAAGTAGTATTCATTCTATTAAATGGATATAGCACACTTCATATGCATTTACCAGTTGAAAACTATTTGGGCTGTTTCCATTTTAGAGCAATTTCATGTTCATGTGTAGGTTTTTGTGTAAACATTAAGTTTTTATTTCACTTAAGTAAATACCTATGATTGAGATTGTTGGGTTATACAGTAATTTGTGTATGGTCTTAACTAGTATCTTTTCCCCATATTACCTTAATGCAAATTTATAAACTTTACAAAGACTTCTGGTAAGTAATGTCTTTCCTGACCTTTGAGGTTCACAAATGTATCAGAATTGGTATCTACTCACTATAACAGGGATTTGGATATGCTATCAATCAAATTCTTCTCTTAAACACTATTACATCGAGCAGATATCCATTTAAAGTTACTGTAACTAAAGTGTTAAGATGTTAGTAGTGCCTTTCTGTTAAAGACGTTCCAGTCCATACCAAAAACCTAACAAATGGCTTTCCTTCAATACAACTGCATCTGATAGGTATAGTTCCTCTTCTTATACATTAAATACCACATTAACAATAATATAGACAGCAAAGATCTTCTTAACAGTGTGAAAGATACCCTTTCCACAAGTTGAGAATTATACAGTATGTTACTGGGGGAACTCATGGCAAGGCTACTCTTTATAGTTAAGTCCTTTATATTTTACTGAGGGCTCATAAGTACAGTTGAACAGACCAGTATGCAATGGAAAGGTCTTTCCAACAACTCATACATGAAGAGACCTTGATTTGCTAACTGTAGGGGTTGATTTATCCAATGCCTGTGCTCAAAAAAACTAATCTAAAACTGATTCTTGAACAGGGTGTAGGTCCACCTACAGCTCTCTCCTGCCTGCCTGCTTCACTCTGTCACACTGATTGAGACGATGTTTCTGTGTGTCCAGTGGTTCTCTCTCACTATTATCTTTGTATTTCATCGCACCCACCGAAAACAGTCCTTATTTATCTCAGCATTCTTTGAGGGGAATGACAGTGTGGAGTGCCAGCATGGTATATAAAATTTAAACTGAACTAAAGATTTGCTTAAAATAATGCCAATGGCCAGCATACTACTGGTGTAGCATGCTGTATCTGGCTTCTAGAGCAGTTTCATTAACATTGCTTAAAAGCCATATTTAACATTAAACTAGACTGCCAAAACCGAGACCCTAAAATTAAGCAAGTCTAATTGAACTAAGGTAATGTTTATTAAAACAGTATTACTCGCCCTGGCCGGTTTGGCTCAGCGGTTAGAGCGTCGGCCTGTGGTACAGAGAGACCCGGGTTCGGTTCCCGCTAAGGGCATGTACCTCGGTTGCAGTTTGTCCCCGGCCCTGGTTGGTCGTGCGGGTGGCAGCCACTCGATGTGTCCCTTCACATCGATGTTTCTCTCTCTCTCTCTCTTCCTCTCTCTCCCTCCCACAGTATTACTCTAGTTAAGGTTAGAATTCAAATCCATCAATATATGGATACTCAAACCTTAAGATTTAATCCCCTCCCCCCCCAATCATTCACAAATAGTGTGCTTTCTGTGATGTTATATCAGGATCAACCTATAATATAGCAACGTAGTTCCCTCCCACTTTAAGAAAATTAAATCTCATCTCTTTAATCAAACCTTCCATTATCATGTGTAAATGGGATACATATTCTGCACTCTAGAAAAGGAGAATAGAAATCCATATGGACAAAGCTGAGGTTTTTATAGCCAATTAGCATGCTGAGCTCTTTTTTATTTATTCATTCCACAAATATAACTAATGTAAGTAATTACTGCCAGCTAGGGTGACCAAACATCCTTGTGTGCTCAGGACTGTCCTGGTTTTAACACTAAAAGTCATGCATTATGTGAAACTCCTTAGCTCCAGGCAAATCAGGGCAGTCAGTCTCCCTACTACCAGTACCTGCTATCTACCAAGCCCTGGATAGACAGTCATGAAGAAAAGATACACAGTTCTTGATCTCATGGAATTTAAAATTAAGTAGTAAGGACATACAATAAACAAGAAACAATTAATTAGGTTTAGTGATAGTACTAAAAAGGAAATGAATCAAGTGAAAGGGAAACCTCTCTGTGACAGGGTGACCAGGGGAGGTTTCTCTAAGGAAGCAGCATTTAGGATGAGACTAGAAACTTTGGGAGAGAAAAGAGGGGTGCAGTTTTTTGGACACCCATCTCCAGATGGTATAGCTAAGGCCCTGAAGCTGACAGTAGTTTGGTTTAGTCAAATAACTGAAAGAGAACCAATGTGAATGGAGCGTAGCGGGCAAAGGGGAGAAGGAATGAGGTAAGTTAGAGGTAAGAAGAAACCAGATCATTCTGAGGTTTATAAAACAGAACCAGGAGTCTAACTTTTATTTGAAGGAAGTAGGGAGCCATCTAATAGTTTTAAGCAGGGGAGTAACCATCCCCCAAGGGTTTTTCAAAGAGCACTCTGACAGAGGGGCCAGGGTGGAAATGCAGAGAGGAGTCAGAAGGAATCCACAGCAATGTCATCAGAGTGGACAGTGACCCGGACAAGGTAAGTAACCACAGGGACAGAGAGAAGTAGGAAAACTTAGAGATGCTGAGGAAAAAGTAGTGATTCACTGAGGTTTAAATCTGAGATGTTAATACCTATTCTTTCATATCAAAATTGTTGGTAGAGGAACATGATTCCAACAGTGGACACTGGTTACTTTTCAGGAGTAAGAAACGGAACCATTCTATAACTATGTTTTTGGGACACAAGGGTATTTCTGCTTTGTTGGAACTTTTTAAACAAGAATGTACTATTTTTATAATAAAAAACAAAAGAGAAAAAATAAAAACAATGAATATATAATTTTTAAAAATGCCTTTAAAGTAATTATTGTGAAGTGGCAGTATAACAATCCTCTAGAGACATTTTACATGATTGGCACTAAATGTGGGAACTTTCCCTTCAAATTTTGAGCAAAGTATATATAATTGTTGATAAAATACTGAGATATATAAAAATGCACAGAATTGATAAAATAAAATCAGTTTTCAACCCATTCAAAAATAAAAAGTACATAAAAGTTTTTTTTTTAATTATACTATTATTACTTGTTTTTACTTAGCTCCTTCTCCTAATACACTTTCTAACTAATGCACGTTTCTAGCCCTTAAAAAAGGAATATCATTATTACAGCAGAGAGGCTAGAGCAAGAACCCCAAAATTGACAATGTCCCTTATCTCTATAAGTGATCCTACTGTAACCAGGTTAGAAAACCTGGTAAATAGCATTTGCCAAGCAGCATGTGCTTATTCAACAAAGATTTATTAAGGGCTTACCTTGTGGCAGGTAGGCATTATGGATATCTCATAGACAACTATAAACTCTACAAATGTTAAGACTAAACTCACAAGTTTTACCTTTAAACCTGATCTTCCTCCAGTATTCTGTCTTACACCAGAGCCTGTTTGTTCTCACCCCAACATCCAATCAGTCAAACCCTCTCAGTTTTATATCCTGAATATTATGTACAATCAAGTCTACTTTCTGGTGTCTCTAGAACTACCATACCAATCCAAGTCAGGCATTAATTCAACAGATACTGACAGGGTGTCTACTCCATGCCAGACATTGTTCTAGGTGCAGGGATACTACAGTGAACAAAGAACCGTCCTGGCTTGGTTGCTCAGCTGGTTAGTGCAACTTTCCCATATGTTAAGGTTATGGGTTCGATCTCCGGTTAGGGCACACACAAGAATCAACCAATGAATGCATAAATAAGTAAAACAACAAATTGATGTGTGTTTTCTCTCTCTCTCTCTCCCTCTCTCTCTAAAATTAATCAATTAGAAAAACAACAACAAATAGCCTTGCTCTCCTGAAGCTTCCATTCTAGTGAAGCTTCTCTCACCTGGACTCTTCTACCTGCCATCTAACTGGTGCCCCCTCCCCAGATTACTATCTGTATAGCAGCCTGGGCAAACTTTTTAAAAGGCAAATCTTAACACCTCTTCCATCTTAAAATCTTTCCATGGTTTCGCATTACCCACAGAATAAAGTCCAAAGTCCTTAACACTGCCAACACCGCCAGTGGCTTTAAACTTTTTAACCCCAGCACACAATAAGATAAATTATACCTCATGACTCAGTATACATGTACATGTATATACATAAAACACAAGTTTCACAAAACAATACTTATTATTAGTAGGTCTAACACACTTAATGTTTTCTATTAGAGTCAATTTCATTTCTTTTTTTTTTTTCTTTTTCTTTTTTATCCTCACCCGAGGACATTTTTCCATTTTTTTTTTTTTGTTGTTCAGATAGAGTGGGAGGAAGAGAGAGGAAGAGAGAGAGAAACATCGATGTGAAAGGGACACATCGAGTGGCTGCCACCCGCACAACCAACCAGGGCTGGGGACAAACTGCAACCGAGGTATGCGCCCTTAGCGGGAACCGAACCCGGGTCTCTCTGGACCACAGGCCGACGCTCTAACCGCTGAGCCAAACCGGCCAGGGCTCATTTCTATTTTTAATGTTGGTTATGATCCACTAAACTGGGTTTTCCATCCTCAGAGGGTCCATACAGCAGACTACTTCTGCAGCTTCATTTGTACCACTCTCTCTCCAGTTTCCGTACCATGCTTCTTTCAGTTCATGAGGGTACTAGGTCCTTCCTGCTTCAATGCTTTTTGTACATGCTGGTCCTTCAACCATGAACACTCAACACTTCCTCATACTAATTAGTCTCCTAATCTTTTCCCTACCATCTATTCCATGTCTCAGTTTAAATGTCATTCCCATCAGGTTAGTACAGGATCCCTGGTCATACTCTCACAGTATTCTTGCTCTTCCTTCATACATGGTCTATAGTGAAATGACTCTCCCAGCAATGCCTGCCCCTGTCCTTCCCTTCCACCCTCTCTCACTCCCCTCCTTTTATCTGTCTAAGCTCCTTGAAGATAGAAACTACTTCCATTTTATTCACCCAGCAGCCCTAGTGCCTAGCACTGTCCAACATATCTGTTGAAAAATAATCTCTGCTCTTGGGGAACTTACTGTCTATAGTCTAGGAAGGGAACAATAAAACAGACCAGGTGTCAAAAGATGGGTTTTGAATATTTCCTAAGAGCCTCGCTGTTAAAGTTCCCATGGGACTCAACCTTCCCAACACTGTATCTAAAGAAAAGAAGAGTGAAATTACTAAATAAGTTATATGCAACATTAAATGCAACATCATGACACAAATTAAAACTTCACAAGTCAACACTGACACTTTTCACAAGTTCACCCTAGACTTTAAACTCTGGTCTAATGAAAAAAAGACTATATTAAAGAGAAGCACAGCTTTTAAATTTCCCAACTTCAATAGAGAAGGTTTATGGAAGAATACTTTATAACATAGCCTTTTTTACATATGATGTCTAAAAATAATTCCTAGAAAATACTTAGGGAGCCTATTCTCGCAAAGACAAATTTAACTATTGCTACTTTAAGTAGGATGAGCAGAAAAAAAACAGAACATGACAATTTAATCATTATTTTAAATAAGAAAAGAAAATATAAAATAAAGTATGCCAATATGCATGTAGCTCTTTTTTTTTTTTTTTTTTTCTTGAGAAAGGCATAGTAAAGTTTTTATAAATACTGTATTGATCTTAATAGGGAACTCTGGTTTCTTTATTACCTTGGACACTTTTCATTTCCTAGGACCCACTGCATAAACATTATTCCATAAGTGACACACATTATCTCCATGGAGGCACACGATGATGTAAAAAGCTTAGGTTTGCTTTAAATTCTATTCTGCTTTGTTTTTTTCTACGAGGCACCAAAGGCAAGTATCTTCATGATTTGCAATTTTTAAAAAAAATTTTCTTTATTGATTTTTTAGAGAGAAAAGGAGAGGGAAAGAGATATAGAAACATCGATGAGAGAGAACTTCTATTGGCTGCCTCCTTCATGCTCCTCACTAGGGATCGGGCCCACAACCTGGGCATGTGCCCTGACCGGGAATCAAAGTGGTGACCTCTTGATGCATGGGTCAACGCTCAACCACTGAGCCACACCAGCCGGGACATGATTTGCAATTTTTAAATGTTGACATAAGGGTGTGGTCAACATAAAAAGTTAGGTCACCATCAGGTCACATGCTAAAAAAGAAATCCTTTAAATTCCCTACATTTTGAGTTTTAAAAAGCACTGAAAGTTAAAACAAATTTAAACTACTCCGATTCAATTATTACATACCTCTTGCCCTCAAGAAAGGCAAAAAATAAATAGGCCTCAATAAAAAGCATCCCAACAATTCAAATAGCTTCATGGATCTACAAGAACCAGCAGCTCTGCAACCTTAAACATCTCTAAGTTTCTTCAGTTATACCTGAACATACTCTGACTGAGACAGGCAGTTCTTTCCCAAACTACTTAAGACTGTCTTACTAAAAGAATTAACTTGTGCCCTAGCCAGTTAGGCTCAGCAGTTAGAGCAGTGGCCTGTGGACCAAGGAGTCGAGAGTTTGAATCTGGTCAAGGGCACATTCTTCAGTTGCAGTTTGATTCCCAGCCCTGGGTTGTGCAGGAGGTGACCAACCGACAACCAATTGATGTGTCACTCTCACATCAATGTTTCTCTCTCTCTTTCTCTCCCCCTCTCTCTTTCCCTCCCTCCCTCTTTCCCTCCCACTCTTTCTGAAAATCAATGAAAAAAATATCTTCAATGAGGATTAAATAAAGAAAAAAGAACTGCATAAAGACGGTGGTCCCAATCATTAACATAAATAAGTACCTGGGCAGTAACCGGTAAAAATGCAGAGTCCAGGGCTCTATCCCCTGAAGGTCTGATTCAGAAGATCTGGAATGGGGGCCCCTGCAAAGTATATTTAAATAAGCATCCCAAGCAGCTTCTAACATAGGTGGTCCTCCCACCAACAGAAAAAACAGCGTAGAAGGCTCACCTGCCTCACCTTAGATAAGGACTAAGTTGGAGATAATATGTCTGACATAACAGCTTAGATTCCCATCTGGAAAACCCAGGAACAAAGGACCTCCTTACTAACAGTGCTCCCCTATCACACTAGACACTCAGAGACTTGTCAGGGTTTGTTCTTTTCCACAAGGACAATACACAAGACAGCAAATACCTCCAATGAAGACCCAAAACTAGATGGAACAGCCAAAGGCATCTTTGTTAGGAGAGCCCAAAATTCATTAGTTTTGTTCAGAAGATTTTTTAAAAAATTGATTTTAGAGAGACAGGGAGGACGAGAGGAAGAGGGAAAAAGAGAGATTAAGAGAAACATCGAGCCCTGGCCAGTTTGGCTCAGCGGTTAGAGCGTTGGCCTGCAGTCCAAGAGACCTGGGTTCGGTTCCCACTAAGGGCGTGTACCTCAGTGGCAGTTTATCCCTGGCCCTGGTTGGTCATGCGGGTGGCAGCCACTCGATGTGTCCCTTTCACGTTGATGTTTCTCTCTCTCTCTTCCTCACTCCCTCCCACTCTATCTGAACAAAAAAATGGAAAAATGTACTTGGGTGAGGATTAAAAAAAAGAACCTCAAACCAGGTTGATTTTGAACTTCTAACAGTCTGTGGTGAAAACTTCAGGAGAGAATCTTTCTCTGATTCCTCTGACAGCCTGGCACAGTGCTGAACAGACAGACTGAAGACATTGGTGTCTCTGTTAGGATGTTCGGGAAAGGGAATTCTGATCTGGTTCCCATCTGATAAAAGAATGTCAATGAGTGGTTGAAGAGGAGGAAGTTGAAATTGCTGTTAAACTGTATTAGATATTGCCTGGCCGGAGTGGTTCAATTGGTTGAGTGTAGGCTTGTGCACAGAAATGTTGCCGGTTCAATTCCCAGTCAGGGCATATGCCTGAGTTGTAGTTGGGGCAAGTACAGAAGGCAACTGATCAATGTTTCTCTCTCACATGGATGTTCCTATTTCCGTTTCTCTCTTTCTCTCTTGTTCTCTCCCCCCTCCCTCTCTAAGCAAGTCCTCTGCTGAGGATTAAAAAAGTAAATAACGTATTAGGTATTACTTACACATTTTATGCTAATTTCTTTTCACAAATAGATAGTTGGGTTTAAAACTGCAATCCCTGCCCTGGTCAGTTTGGCTCAGCAGTTTGAGCATTGGCCTGCAGACCAGAGAGTCCTGGGTTTGGTTCCCACTAGGGGCATGCACCTAGGTTGCAGTTTGTCCCCAGCCCCAGATGGGGTCGTGTGGGTAGCAACCAGTCGATGTGTCTCTCTCACATCATGTTTCTCTCTCTCTTCCTCCCTCTCTCCCTTCCACTCTATCTGAAGATAAATGCAAAAAAAAAAAAAAAATGTCCTTGGGTGAGAATAAAATAAAATAAAATTGCAATCCCCTCCAACTCCAATTCCTACTTTGGAAAAGTTCTGTGTGGATCTGTCTACTACAAAAGGATGATTTATACTCATGTCATTTGTCAGATTCTATGGAAAATCACTAAAGACAGATGTCTTAGGAGTGCTTTCCCAAAGAAGCCCCTAGATAATCTTTATAACTGAGGTACCAATTTTCTCTAAACTATTCAATGCATTTTACAAACATGAATTGTAGCAATATAAAAAATGGCCATGAAACATTCTCGTATTGCAATATGAAAACTTAAAAGACTAGCAGATTAAGTTGGCATAGTGGAAAGAGTATATGCCTTGTTGTCATGCAGATTTGGTTACAAATTCTAACTCTACCACTTACAAATTGTGTAAATCTCGGTGAGTTACTTCTTCAATCTCCATTTTCCTCATATGTAAAATGGGAAAAATGATACCAACTTCACCATAATTTCAAAACTTGACAATGTAAATAAAACACATAATTAAGGTGACTAGTTCACCCTAGGCACTATGAAAGTGGTAGCTGAAGTCATTGTCAAAAATATCTGTATTTTGCCCTGGCCGGTTTGGCTCAGCGGTTAGAGTGTCGGCCCATAGTCCAGAGAGACCCGGGTTTGGTTCCTGCTAAGGGCACATACCTCAGTTGCAGTTTGTCCCCGGCCCCAGTTGGGGTTGCGCAGGAGGCAGCCACTCAATGTGTCCCTTTTCACGTCGATGTTTCTCTCTCTCCTTCCCACTCTATCTGAACGAAAATGGAAAAATGTCCTCGGGTGAGGTTAAAAAAAAAACTGTTTCTCTAGGTCAGAAAATAGTAAAAAAAAATTTAAAGGGTTCTAATCCCAAGTGTTAGTCTAAAATTATCAACCAAACTTTTACACTCAAGAACATATATTTTTAATATCTTTGTAAATTTCAAGCGCCTCTCAGTGAGAACATTTTCAACTTACCTTTCAATTCCTATTCCAAAACAATTCCAATAGTTGTCCACAGGCCCTATTACTTCTCAACTCCCACTCCACCATTTTTGAAACAGTCCTCTTTTCTTCAACAGATCTTCAGCCCCTCCTCTTAAAGTCCTCCCATTTCATACTCTACCTAATATTTTAGTACTGAGACCTCTGGCCTAGTACAAAAAAGACCCATACCAAACTATTTATACAAAAACTTTATTTGCAGTGCTTGTACCAAATTCTTACAAATACTCAATAGTCCAATTAGATATACAAGGCTGAAGTTATATCTAGATTTTATAGTTACAACCAAAGATACATAGCTGGAAAATAGCATAGCCCAGCCTAGAGTTCAAATTTTCAGATCCCAAGTTCAGCACTTTTCCTTACTCAGAAAGCTATTACCTCTTACATGTTCTTTCTTTCTATCATTTATAAACAAAATATGGGGGGAAACCCTCTTTGTATTTCCTGATATCACTACAGCACTGCTACAAAGGACTGCTTCCTTCCTACAGTATTTTCTAGAGCATATAAACAAATTCAAGCAATCTCAAGACAGTAAGACCAAAAGTTACTTTCAATAGTTCCTGCACAACCTTCAGGTAAGAAAGAATTCTAGGATGCTGCATGAAAACGGTCAAGAGGCCTCAGCCACAGTTCCTCCATGCCGTCCTATATTACCCCATTTCTGCCCTCTTTCCTCCTCCTAAGAGTTTTCTTCAATCTGACAGATCTCATCAGGGACCCTTCTCAACCACGAACGACCCTAGCTGCCAAAAAGATTCGTGCACGCAGCTAAGTCTTCCTAGCCAAGCATAGCAGAGGTTCTCTAGAACATTTAGGATAATGTCCTTCCTCTCCATACACACACCCTTGTCTGAAAAACTTCATTTCCCACAGCCCGCACTTTCCTGGCCACCCCCACCTCCCCCCAAGCCCCACGCTCGCCCGGTGCACCTCCTTCAAAACCTCCAGCCTCCCGGGTTGGCGGGCTATACTTCCTATCTCTCCTGGCCCGGATCACCTGGCCTGCAGCCCGCTGCCCCGACCTGGCCCAGCAGATCATGGACCCCACCGGTTCCCCGAGCCCGAGGCCCACCAGCCTGGTCCCTGCCCCGCCTCCCCGCCCAAGGCGCCAAGTACTCGGGGCTCCTTCTCCAGGCCCCGGCTGGACTCCGCGGCCCCGGGAGCTGCGGGAAGGACAGGAAGGAGGCGGCAGCGGCGGTCAGGGCACGGGGCGGGCCGGGCGCCTAGAGACCGGAGGCACAGGGCCCGGCCAGCTCCCAGCTCCCGTGGCCAGGACTCAGCCCTCCCGCTCCGCTGGCCCGCGCCTTCGCGGCCTGCCCTCACCTGATCCAGGTTCTCGTCGCTGCCGCTGTCCTCCGTGTCCGAGTCGATCACCACGCGGCCTTTCCGCTTCTTTACCATGGTGGTCCCCCGGCTCCCACGCCGGACCCCACCCGGACTTCCCTCTAGCCCGCCTGCCAGTGCGACAGCCACTGCCACTACTGCCGCCGCCGCCGCCGCCGCCGCCGCTCGACCCACACAAAGGCGACCGCGCATGCGCGCTCCGCTCCGCCCCTAGCCCCGCCCCCCGCTCAGCGCACGCCGTTCGCCGGCTCTCAGCGCCCCTTCCTACCCCGCCCCCGACGTAGCGTGGGAGGCGGGGCCCAGCACTGGGCTCGGTTCCTGGCCGTGGACCGCTTTCCTTCACCCTGCTCGGTCCCCTGGCGGTCCTGTAAGTGTTTCCGCTGTGGAGCCGAAGCTCGATGGGCTGCCTACCTGTCGTGGACTGAAACCCCAAGCATCTGGGTCCTCTCTGAGGAGCCTTTCAAGTGTCCGACGCTGATGAAGTGTCGAAGGAGACGTCAGGGACTGCCCTCCTGGAAGACACAAGTCTCCTGGACCACACCGAGGGCACCCTTTGGAAAATGAAGCGTTCCTACCTAGGTTGTGCAAGTGACAACTGAGCTGGGACCTAGAGGATGCATCTGAGTTACCCAAAAGAAAAGTAGAGGGAAGGGTGTTTCGAGCAGAGATCCGCATGAGCAAAAGCAGCGATAATAGAAAAAGTTGGGTTCAGGGAACTGAAAGTTCATTATGGCCGAACAGGTGGCAAGGAGAGTGAGGATAAGGCTGCGGAGGCACACAGCGACCACATCATTCAGAGCCTAATAAGCTAGATTAGGAAGTATTGAAAGATTTCAAACTGAAGAACGACTTTATTAGATTTGTGTTTTAAAAAGATTACTCTGCTAATGGATTAGAAGGGAGGGAGGCCATTTAGGCTGTTGGTGTCATTTTAGCAAGAGAAGATGGTGTCCTGAATGAAGGAAGAAGCAGTGGAAATGGATGGATAATTTGAAAATTAGAATTACCAGATTTTAGAGATTAATTCGGAGAGGGAGGGATAAGGTGAGGTCCCAGACATAAAGGATGCTCAGATTCTGGCATAGGAAGCTGGTGGTCAATGGGCCCATCGTCGAGATAAGGAACATGTGGGAAGAGGTTTGGGAAATTGGGGTATGTGGAAAATAAGTTCAGTTTTATATCTGTTGAGTT